TTTGTAGGTAAGGCCCTCAGCTGCGAGGACCACTGTTGCCGTTCGATACTTGCCCCCCGAGTTAATCCCACGCGCCCCCTGGTCAAACCCGCGGCGCTCTCGCGCGAGACTTTTTCGCAATGCAGTCAAATTTGTGAAGGTTCAGCTGCAACGATAACGACTCCCGCTCGACGCTTTGTCGCAGTCTATTCCGAGGTGCCTTGACCAGAGAGGCCCCCTAACTCAGGAACGGCGCTCTCGCTTGCGACTTCCTCGCAAGTTAGTCAAGTTGGTGAAGGCGCAATTGCCACGATAACGGCTCCTTCCCGATATTTTCTTATAGCTATTTACTCGCGTGCGCCTTGTCATATGCATTCTCGCACTCAGGAATGGCGCTCTCGCGCGAGACCTCCTCGCAAGTCTTCCATGTTGGTGGAAGCCCAGCTGGGACGACAACGGCGCCCGCTCGAGATTGTCTCACCGAGACTTCGTGGAGGCCGCCGACCGCAGGAACGGTCCTCTTTCCCGAGACTTACCCGCAGCTCGCTCAAGTCGGTGAGAGGGCCGCGGGCGCAGCTCGCACGACGGCCATGGCGGCGCGGTACGCACACAGCGTGTTGCTGCGTGTTTCTCCTAGGGGCCGGTGTGAAGAGGAGCCCACCCCCAAGTAATGGAGTTCGCTCATGGTTTTCGCGGGCGTGTGCAAGGGAGAGCGAGAATCACATAACGTCAGGCCAGCTTGTTGGATCACATGTTCGTCATATGGTTGTCGTCCTTGTCGTCGTCGTCAGCAGAGCGACGGTGGCGCTCTCCCGTGCCATCGTCGTCGTCGTCGCGACTCAAAGTCGACTGTCTTTGGCGTCCTGATTTCCCAGCCTTTAATGTGTTGGTTTGTCCAAGCATCCTGTAGTTGATCGTCATCTCAAGTTTGGTTGCACCGCTGGAGCTTTGGTGGGATTTTGCAGTCTCTTGGGTGACGTTCGGTAGCAATTCATGGGAGCCTGGCGTACCCTGTCAATTCCGTCTTTAGCGTCGATTAGCGTCGATCAGCGTGTGGGAGTCGATGGCACAGCGCCGATTTAGCGTCGGTTAGCGTCGATTAGGGTCGATTTAGCCTGGAGTTGTCGTCGGCTAGCGTCGATCAGCGTCGATGCGCAATTGCCGACTAGATGGTATGGAGGCTCCCATGGGTTGCCACCGAAGGTGGCGGTTGCGATTTCATTGTGCAGAGAGTGTGCTTGCCTGGCCTGGCAAACGTGCACGGACCTTGAGGTTTGTCATACCTCCCTGTCCTTAGTGGCCGTGCCGCTCCTGGTGGCCGTACACCCGTGCTCTTTTCGTGCGCACTGCTTGATTCGTGTAGTTTTCATGTGCCGGTGATATGCACAACGGGTTCCTTCAATGGAGTATGGCCGTCTAAGTCTTGTGGTATCGGGTATTCGTCCGTACTGTTTCCTGTCATTGGCGTGTGTAGCGTTGCGCAGTCGTGGTGTGCATACAGTCGAGGAGTGTGTAGCATTTCCCAGTCATTGCGCATGTGTGTGGCATTGCGCGTGCAGTCTGACGGAGTTTATCCTCTTCTGGTCCGTGGACCCGTGGCGTCCGTCACGGCTCCCCCCACTCTCCCCTCCGTGCGATCAACGATCGCACAGGCCCTCCCCCCTCCACGTCCACAAGCATTTGCCAGGTTGGAACACAGCCCTATCCCTGGCATCACTTGATCTCGATGCCGATCTTGAGAATTCCCTGAGCTTCTGAGGGCGCATCCCTGCGATTGTCATCTGGGCCTGCTGATCTGAGGGGTGGGGATAAGATCGAGGCTGGTGAAGCATGTGGTGGCGTTCGCAGGCTATTGTGGTGGCCATGCGCATCGTGCTGTGTTCACAGGCATTCTGTGGTGCTCGCGGGCTACTGGTGCTCATGGGCATTTAGTGGCGCTCGCGGGCCCACCACAGTGCTTCACAGGCATGTCGCGGCATTAGTGGGATATCGCGGTGCTCGCAGACTCACTGACGCTGTTCGCAGGCACAATGGTACTGGCAGACACGTTGTGGTGCTCGCAGGCTATCGTGGTGCTCGCAAGCTTTGCTGTGGTGGCAGATTGTCGCAGTATTGGTAGGGTCCAACATACTGTTGTGCATGCGTGTGCTGCGTTCTTGCAACCTTTGTACAAACGTTACCCCCTTAGTGCAAGCTTTTCTGGGAGAAAGTTTGACGAGTTACACATGTCAAATGAGCCAGGAGGGGCAGGATAGCTACATCGTGCGCGTGTGTGTTTATTCCTTACCTAGGCTCTGCCTAGAAGGGTTCTTACCCTGTATGCTTAAGGGACCGGGCAGTGCTCCCCGCCCCGGGCGGTTCCCCCAGGATACGCCCCGCGGTTCCCCCAGTTGCGCCTCCTGGGTTCACCCAGCTTAGCTTAGCTAAGCTTAACTTAGCTTAGCTTAGCTTCGCTTAGCTTAGCTTAGCTTATCTCATCTTAGCTTAGCTTAGCTTAGCTTAGCGTAGCTTAGCCTAGCTTAGCTTGGCTTGGCTTAGCTTAGCTTAGCTTAACCTAGCCTAGCTTAGCTTAGCTTAGCTTAGCGCAGCGCTGCATAGCGCAGCGCAGCATTAGCATTAGCACATCATAGCATAGCATAGCATAGCCAAGCATATCATAGCATAGCATAGCATAGTTCAACATAGCATAGCATAACATTAGCATAGCATAACATAGCGCAGCATACCATATCATATCATAGCATATCATAGCATTACTTAGCATAGCACAGCGCAGCATAACATAACATAGCACAGCATATCATATCATATCATAGCATAGCATCGCATAGCGCAGCATAGCATAGCATAGCATAGCATAGCATAGCATAGCATATCAAAGCTTAACATAGCATAACATAACCACTGCGAAATCGTAGATGTAGATGTAGATGTAGATGCAGGTGCATATGTGGATGTAGGTGTAGATGTAGATGTAGATGTAGGTGTAGATGTAGGTGTAGATGTAGATGTAGATGTGAGTCTAGCTGTTGATGCTGATGTAGATGTAGATGCAGGTGTAGATGTAAGTGTAGCTGTCGGTGTAGATGTAGATGTTGTTTTCCTAAATGCTCCAACTCCTAGGTAGGGTCGCACTGGGATAATTTGTTGGCAACCCGATGCGTAGCCAATCGCAAGCCGAAAATTGCACGCATTCCTCTCAACCTCCTCATTATCATCTGATGGGTGGTCTTCTGGTGCCAGGTCAGCTTATGAATCCCTGGATCGCAGCACTTGTGTTTTGCTGCTTGCGGTCCTACTTTGCACGTGAACTGTGCGCTAGTCGCTAACTTTTTCCGTATGTCGGCGGCGAGCCCAGGGGTGAATACAGAGGGGGCGGGCGTTCTCAGAGGACAGCCTTCTGCGAAGCCTTCTGAGAAATCCTCCAAGCCTTCTCCGAAGACAGAGACGGCCTCTCAGAAGGCCAGAGGGCTTCTGAGAACCCCGCCGCCTTCTGAGAAGGCCTGCCCCCTCTCAGTTCCCCCTCCCGCGTGCCGCCGAGCATGTGATTGTGGCCTTGATCTTGACCCTGCGGGCTTCTGGAATTATCGCTAACAACATCATCATCAATCTCATGCTTGTCGTCATCGCTTCCACTACGGTTTGGAATACTTTTGGCTAAGGCCATTTTGGCTCCATCCCAGCGTCGGCCGATTTTTTGATCCGAGAGTGCTTCTCTCGTGGGCGTGCAGCCCAGACTCTCAATCTTTTTTGCATCCTCGTTGTCAAGGAATGGCGAAGTCGTCTACCCTGGCAGCCACTGCCTTTGCAGCCGCGGCAGCAGCGGCGCTCTTCGGCGGCCTGTCCTTCGTTGCGCCATCGAGCCAGGCACAGTCGCAGGCACCTGTCCAGTTGCAGTCCACTGCAGGATTCCCCCAGCCGACTTCCCCCCCCGCGGCTGCCTCGATTCCAGCTGCTGTCAGCCTTGCCCTCGTTGGTGCCTCCGCAGCGCTGGCGCTCGCATCCCGCCAGGCTCTCGCCGCAACCCGCAAGGCCGTCACCGCGCCTGCACGGAACCGTCTGGTCTCCGTCGCTGCCTTCGAGAGCGAGCTTGGCGTGCAGGACCCGGTGGGCTTCTGGGACCCCGCTGGCTTCACGGCGGATGGTAGCACGGAGAATTTCGCCCGCCGGCGCCAGACGGAGCTGAAGCACGGCCGCGTTTCCATGTTGGCGACCATGGGCTACATCACCCCGGAGATCACCGGCAAGCTGCCAGGGTACCTGTCGCCGTCCGCGGGCCTGAAGTTTGCGGACATCCCGAACGGTCTCGGTGCGATCTCCAAGGTTCCCGCGGCGGGCTGGGCGCAGATCGTGGCGTACGGCGCGTTCTGCGAGTTGTCCCAGGACCAGTCCGCAGGCACCGCTGCCGCGGCGGGTGACTTCGGCTTCAAGGTGCTGACGTCCAGCGACGCTGGGGAGAAGCAGAAGAAGTTGGCAGCTGAGATCGCCAACGGTCGCCTGGCCATGATGGCGATCATCGGCATGTTCTTCCAGGATGGCTTGACCGGCTCTGCATGGGGCGACTGGGCGCTCTACACGGGCTCTCCGTTGCGTGCGTTCGAGAGCGAGCTTGGCGTGCAGGACCCGGTGGGCTTCTGGGACCCCGCTGGCTTCACGGCGGATGGTAGCACGGAGAATTTCGCCCGCCGGCGCCAGACGGAGCTGAAGCACGGCCGCGTTTCCATGTGGCGACCATGGGCTACATCACCCCGGAGATCACTGGCAAGCTGCCAGGGTACCTGTCGCCGTCCGCGGGCCTGAAGTTTGCGGACATCCCGAACGGTCTCGGTGCGATCTCCAAGGTTCCCGCGGCGGGCTGGGCGCAGATCGTGGCGTACGGCGCGTTCTGCGAGTTGTCCCAGGACCAGTCCGCAGGCACCGCTGCCGCGGCGGGTGACTTCGGCTTCAAGGTGCTGACGTCCAGCGACGCTGGGGAGAAGCAGAAGAAGTTGGCAGCTGAGATCGCCAACGGTCGCCTGGCAATGATGGCGATCATCGGCATGTTCTTCCAGGATGGCTTGACCGGCTCTGCATGGGGCGACTGGGCGCTCTACACGGGCTCTCCGTTGCGTGCGTTCGAGAGCGAGCTTGGCGTGCAGGACCCGGTGGGCTTCTGGGACCCCGCTGGCTTCACGGCGGATGGTAGCACGGAGAATTTCGCCCGCCGGCGCCAGACGGAGCTGAAGCACGGCCGCGTTTCCATGTTGGCGACCATGGGCTACATCACCCCGGAGATCACCGGCAAGCTGCCAGGGTACCTGTCGCCGTCCGCGGGCCTGAAGTTTGCGGACATCCCGAACGGTCTCGGTGCGATCTCCAAGGTTCCCGCGGCGGGCTGGGCGCAGATCGTGGCGTACGGCGCGTTCTGCGAGTTGTCCCAGGACCAGTCCGCAGGCACCGCTGCCGCGGCGGGTGACTTCGGCTTCAAGGTGCTGACGTCCAGCGACGCTGGGGAGAAGCAGAAGAAGTTGGCAGCTGAGATCGCCAACGGTCGCCTGGCGATGATGGCGATCATCGGCATGTTCTTCCAGGATGGCTTGACCGGCTCCGCGTGGGGCGACTGGGCGCTCTACACGGGCTCTCCGTTGCGCGCGTTCGAGAATGAGCTCGGTGTGCAGCCACCGACAGGATTCTGGGACCCCGCAGGCTTCACGAAGGATGGCGATGCGGATGCCTTCAAACGCCGCCGTTGTGTCGAGATCAGGCATGGCCGCATTGCCATGCTGGCGACGATGGGCTACATCACCCCAGAGATAGCAGGGAAATTCCCAGGATACCTGTCTTTGGATGAGAAAATCCTTTTTGAGGATGTCCCCAATGGTCTTGCAGCCCTCTCCAAGATTCCTCTGGGTGGATATCTTCAGATCCTCGCGTACTGCGGCTATTGTGAGTTTACCGGCACTGGGGTGAAAGATGGTATCTTTTACGCTGGAAGCAGTGGTGCGCTTAAAGATGGCGAGGCGGAGCCGGGCAACGTCGGCTGGAAGCCTCCTTTGCTCACCAGCCCAGACCCTGAGATCCGCAGACGTAGGCTGAACGCGGAGATTGCCAATGGCCGCCTGGCGATGATGGCGATCATCGGCATGTTCTTCCAGGATGGCTTGACCGGCTCTGCATGGGGCGACTGGGCGCTCTACACAGATTCTCCGTTGCGTGCGTTCGAGAGCGAGCTTGGCGTGCAGGACCCGGTGGGTTTCTGGGACCCCGCTGGCTTCACGGCGGATGGTAGCACGGAGAATTTCGCCCGCCGGCGCCAGACGGAGCTGAAGCACGGCCGCGTTTCCATGTTGGCGACCATGGGCTACATCACCCCAGAGATTACCGGCAAGCTGCCAGGGTACCTGTCGCCGTCCGCGGGCCTGAAGTTTGCGGACATCCCGAACGGTCTCGGTGCGATCTCCAAGGTTCCCGCGGCGGGCTGGGCGCAGATCGTGGCGTACGGCGCGTTCTGCGAGCTGTCCCAGGACCAGTCCGCAGGCACCGCTGCCGCGGCGGGTGACTTCGGCTTCAAGGTGCTGACGTCCAGCGACGCTGGGGAGAAGCAGAAGAAGTTGGCAGCTGAGATCGCCAACGGTCGCCTGGCGATGATGGCGATCATCGGCATGTTCTTCCAGGACGGCTTGACCGGTTCGGCGTGGGGCGACTGGGCGCTCTACACGGGCTCTCCGTTGCGCGCGTTCGAGAACGAGCTGGGCGTGCAGGACCCAATGGGTTTCTGGGACCCGGCCGGCTTCACATTCGATGGGAACTCTGAGAATTTCGCCCGCCGCCGGCAGACGGAGCTCAAGCACGGTCGTGTGTCCATGCTGGCCACCATGGGGTACATCACTCCCGAGGTCAGCGGCAAGTTCCCTGGGTATTTGTCTCCGTCCTCGGAGCTGAAATTCGCGGACATCCCGAATGGCCTCGGCGCTATCTCCAAGGTTCCCGCGGCGGGCTGGGTGCAGATCGTAGCCTACGCCGCGTTCTGCGAGCTGTCCCAGAACCAATCCCCAGGCACGCCTGCGGCGGCGGGCGATTTCGGTTGGAAGGTGCTCACCGCTAGCGACCCTGTGGAGAAGCAGAAGAAGTTGGCGGCTGAGATCGCCAACGGTCGCCTGGCGATGATGGCGATCATCGGCATGTTCTTCCAGGACGGCTTGACCGGTTCGGCGTGGGGCGACTGGGCGCTCTACACGGGCTCTCCGTTGCGCGCGTTCGAGAACGAGCTGGGCGTGCAGGACCCGATGGGTTTCTGGGACCCGGCTGGCTTCACATTCGATGGGAACTCTGAGAATTTCGCCCGCCGCCGGCAGACGGAGCTCAAGCACGGTCGTGTGTCCATGCTGGCCACCATGGGGTACATCACTCCCGAGGTCAGCGGCAAGTTCCCTGGGTATTTGTCTCCGTCCTCGGAGCTGAAATTCGCGGACATCCCGAATGGCCTCGGCGCTATCTCCAAGGTTCCCGCGGCGGGCTGGGTGCAGATCGTAGCCTACGCCGCGTTCTGCGAGCTGTCCCAGAACCAATCCCCGGGCACGCCTGCGGCGGCGGGCGATTTCGGTTGGAAGGTGCTCACCGCTAGCGACCCTGTGGAGAAGCAGAAGAAGTTGGCGGCTGAGATCGCCAACGGTCGCCTGGCGATGATGGCGATCATCGGTATGTTCTTCCAGGACGGCTTGACCGGTTCGGCGTGGGGCGACTGGGCGCTCTACACGGGCTCTCCGTTGCGCGCGTTCGAGAACGAGCTGGGCGTGCAGGACCCGATGGGTTTCTGGGACCCGGCCGGCTTCACATTCGATGGGAACTCTGAGAATTTCGCCCGCCGCCGGCAGACGGAGCTCAAGCACGGTCGTGTGTCCATGCTGGCCACCATGGGGTACATCACTCCCGAGGTCAGCGGCAAGTTCCCTGGGTATTTGTCTCCGTCCTCGGAGCTGAAATTCGCGGACATCCCAAATGGCCTCGGCGCTATCTCCAAGGTTCCCGCGGCGGGCTGGGTGCAGATCGTAGCCTACGCCGCGTTCTGCGAGCTGTCCCAGAACCAATCCCCGGGCACGCCTGCGGCGGCGGGCGATTTCGGTTGGAAGGTGCTCACCGCTAGCGACCCCGTGGAGAAGCAGAAGAAGTTGGCGGCTGAGATCGCCAACGGTCGCCTGGCGATGATGGCGATCATCGGCATGTTCTTCCAGGACGGCTTGACCGGTTCGGCGTGGGGCGACTGGGCGCTCTACACGGGCTCTCCGTTGCGCGCGTTCGAGAACGAGCTGGGCGTGCAGGACCCAATGGGTTTCTGGGACCCGGCCGGCTTCACATTCGATGGGAACTCTGAGAATTTCGCCCGCCGCCGGCAGACGGAGCTCAAGCACGGTCGTGTGTCCATGCTGGCCACCATGGGGTACATCACTCCCGAGGTCAGCGGCAAGTTCCCTGGGTATTTGTCTCCGTCCTCGGAGCTGAAATTCGCGGACATCCCGAATGGCCTCGGCGCTATCTCCAAGGTTCCCGCGGCGGGCTGGGTGCAGATCGTAGCCTACGCCGCGTTCTGCGAGCTGTCCCAGAACCAATCCCCGGGCACGCCTGCGGCGGCGGGCGATTTCGGTTGGAAGGTGCTCACCGCTAGCGACCCTGTGGAGAAGCAGAAGAAGTTGGCGGCTGAGATCGCCAACGGTCGCCTTGCGATGATGGCGATCATCGGTATGTTCTTCCAGGACGGCTTGACTGGCTCTGCGTGGGGCGACTGGGCGCTCTACACGGGCTCTCCGTTGCGCGCGTTCGAGAACGAGCTGGGCGTGCAGCCGCCGGCGGGTTTCTGGGACCCAGCCGGCTTCACAGCCGATGGCAATGCGGAGGATTTTGCTCGGAGGCGCGCCACCGAGATCAAGCATGGCCGCATTGCCATGCTGGCCACCATGGGCTACATCACCCCCCAGCTGATCGGGCCTTTCCCGGGCTACCTGTCCCCGCAGGCGGGCCTCAAGTACGCGGACATCCCGAACGGCCTCGGCGCGCTGTCCAAGGTGCCGCTGGGGGGTTGGGGCCAGATCTTCCTGTATTGCGCGTATGTGGAGATCTCTCAGGACCAGACGATCCCTGGCTCCCCCGCCTCGCGGGGGGAGTTTGGCTTCAAGCTGCTGACGTCCTCCGACCCCGCGGAGAGGCAGAAGAAGCTGGCAGCGGAAATCGCGAACGGTCGCCTGGCCATGATGGCGATCATCGGCATGTTCTTCCAGGATGGCTTGACGGGCTCCGCGTGGGGCGACTGGGCGCTCTACACGGGCTCGCCGTTGCGTGCTTTCGAGAACGAGCTGGGCGTGCAGCCGCCGACTGGATTCTGGGACCCCGCAGGCTTCACGAAGGATGGCGATGCGGACGCATTCAAACGCCGCCGTTGTGTCGAGATCAGGCATGGCCGCATTGCCATGCTGGCGACGATGGGCTACATCACCCCAGAGATCGCAGGGAAATTCCCAGGAAACCTGTCTTTGGATGAGAAAATCCTTTTTGAGGATGTCCCCAATGGTCTTGCAGCCCTCTCCAAGATTCCTCTGGGTGGGTATCTTCAAATCCTCGCGTACTGCGGCTATTGTGAGTTCACCGGCACGGGGGTGAAAGATGGTATCTTTTACGCTGGAAGCAGTGGTGCGCTTAAAGATGGCGAGGCGGAGCCGGGCAACGTCGGCTGGAAGCCTCCTTTGCTCACCAGCCCAGACCCTGAGATCCGCAGACGTAGGCTGAACGCGGAGATTGCCAATGGCCGCCTGGCGATGATGGCGATCATCGGCATGTTCTTCCAGGATGGCTTGACCGGCTCTGCATGGGGCGACTGGGCGCTCTACACAGATTCTCCGTTGCGCGCGTTCGAGAGCGAGCTTGGCGTGCAGGACCCGGTGGGCTTCTGGGACCCTGCTGGCTTCACGGCGGATGGTAGCACGGAGAATTTCGCCCGCCGCCGCCAGACGGAGCTGAAGCACGGCCGCGTTTCCATGTTGGCGACTATGGGCTACATCACCCCGGAGATCACCGGCAAGCTGCCAGGGTATCTGTCGCCATCCGCTGGGCTGAAGTTCGCGGACATCCCGAACGGTCTCGGTGCGATCTCTAAGGTTCCCGCGGCGGGCTGGGCGCAGATCGTGGCGTACGGCGCGTTCTGCGAGCTGTCCCAGGACCAGTCCGCAGGCACCGCTGCCGCGGCGGGTGACTTCGGCTTCAAGGTGCTGACGTCCAGCGACGCTGGGGAGAAGCAGAAGAAGTTGGCGGCTGAGATCGCCAACGGTCGCCTGGCGATGATGGCGATCATCGGTATGTTCTTCCAGGACGGCTTGACTGGCTCTGCGTGGGGCGACTGGGCGCTCTACACGGGCTCTCCCTTGCGTGCGTTCGAGAGCGAGATCGGTGTCCAGGCACCTGTCGGCTACTGGGACCCCATGGGCCTGAGTTCCGACGGGGACGTCGCCACCTTCAAACGCCGCAGGACGACTGAGATCAAGCACGGTCGCGTGTCTATGTGGGCCGCGATGGGATACATTGCACCGGAGTATTTCAAGTGGCCTGGGTATTTGTCACCGTCTGCAGGTCTGAAGTTCGTGGACGTCCCCAACGGATTGGCCGCCTTGTCAAAAGTGCCCCTGTCCGGCTGGCTGCAGATCGTGCTGTTTGCGGGCTACTGGGAGTTCGGCACCTACAACAGCACAGCCCCTCCAGGCGACCTGGGCTGGAAGGCGATCACGTCCTCGGACCCAGAGGTTCTTAAGCGCAAGCTGAACGCAGAGATGGCCAACGGCCGCCTGGCCATGATGGCCATCATGGGCATGCTCTATCAGGACGGCCTCACTGGCTCCGCCTGGGGAGACTGGGCCCTGTACACCGACTCTCCCCTGCGCTGACCCGTGGTGAGGGGCTGGGGCTAGCCGAGGGAGGAGGAGGGGGATGGTGATGATGATGATGATGATGATGATGATGATGATGATGGTGGTGGTGGTGGTGGTGGTGGTGGTGATGATGATGATGATGATGCTGCTGCTGCTGCTGATGATGATGATGGTGGTGGTGGTGGTGGTGGTGATGATGAGGACGACGATGATGATGATGCTGATGCTGATGCTG